TCTAGGGGGTGTCTTGGGCGGCCCTGCCTCTTTTCTATCTTTGCTCATTTTTTTAATGTTTCCAGATTTTCTGGTTCTCTCCCCGGGCCCCCTGGCAGCCGGAGCCCTGGGGGGCTGCTGGAGGCCGCCCCCGTCCCCCCCTCCGGCCCCTCGGGGGTCCCTGGCTCCGGCCCAGCCTTTCCCTCCCCACACTGCAGGTGTTTCCCGGCTGCCTGGCCCGGCCAGCGCTGCCGACCAGCGTGGGACCATCTCCCTGGCCATGGAGGTGCTTCCAGGCAGGGGTGATGCTCACTGGGTGCTGGGAGCGCTTCCCAGGGGCTGGGAACTGGCTGCCACTGCCGGGCACCTCCCAGAGCTGATGGATCAGCTGTTGTGTGGTCATGGCTGCCCCATCACCTTGGTTTGCCTGGCCTGAATGGAGCACATTCTCCAGGTGGTTGTAACCGGTGTGTGGTTCCCCCTCATCGCTGACAGCAGCCCGTGGCAGTTTAATTATTTTGGAAAGTTGTGGGACTTCTAAATGGAACTCAACATAGGGTAAAGTAGGGAAATGCCAGCCAAGGTTATTGTCATGGAGCTGTGTGCTTTTTGCATGGTTTTCACAGAAAAGCCATCTGGACCCTTTTCCCTGGGATGCTGTTATTTGGTTGGATCCCTGTGGCATCCTTCATGGCCTCCAGGCTTCCTTGCTGCTGGTATTCCTCATCAATTCCTTATATCCTGTCCCAAAACTCTTCAAAAAGTAGTATCACCTCAGTCCCTCAAGCTGGAGCTGAGCATGGGGTTGTACCTGTTGTTCATCTTTCAGTCTCATTATTATTGTGCACAGTTTGATTCTAACAGTTGTTGCTATTTCTTTTCAAGCTCTTTAACCTCTCCAAGATGATCATCTCATGTAACCTCAAAACTTAAATCCTACAACATACACACGTGTAAAATGTTTTAATTCTTGCTGATGCTGCATCCCTTCAGCCCTGATCAGGTGTTGGCTGCACAGACAGGGTGGGGAAGGTGACTTGCACTGTTTTCTCTTTCATGAATTACATCTTCACCCTGAACTTGCTGGTTTCTCCCTGCCCTCCCCTGGATGTGCCACCCACACTTGGGACATCTCTTTCCTAGCTGGGCATCCTCAAGTCTGAGAACCCAGTGCTCCCAGCAGACAGTTACTTCTCTATGCAGCAGCAATAATATTTCCAATTATTATTGGAAATAATTTTAGACTTTGACCTTTCATCTGGTTCCTATCAAACACCATCCTGGCCCTCCCTGTCTGGCATGAGGTCCCCTGGCAGTGGAGCTCTCATTCCTCTTGTTTCTGTAGAGATGATGAACTACAGCACAACCACTGTCTGTAAAGCAGATCTTTGGCAGCAATATCCAAGCCCAGGTTCTGTGTGTAGTTCAGGACACAGGTAAGGACATCCTGTGGCCTTGGGCTTGCATGTAGCACCATGAACTTGGCATGGGGCTGGTGACACTCTGCAGTGTTATTTGGAAGGGGGAGTTGTGATTTCCTCTCTTCTGTGCTTGCAGCACAGCCTGCAGTGACCCTTGTAACACTTCACACCCACGTCATGGTTTGGGAATCTCCACCTACAGGGATCCTGCAATGGAGCAGAACCAGCCTGTTCAGCAGCTGTGATTTTGGGCTGCCCAGATCTTTTTCTTCCTGAGGGCTTCACACCTGTGCCCTGTGATCCTCTCCTCCTGCACAGATTCTGAGAAGCCAAGTCATTATTGGCTTACAATTCCATTTGTACTGTATTCCAAACAACTTTTGGGTTTCCACCTCTTCTTGGCCTGGTAGCTCCTTTGCAAAGGTGTGTGTATGTGTCTCATCTCTCTGGTTCCCTCCTGCCCTGTTCTCTGTGGAGCTGCTTGCCCAGTTATTCACTTTCTCCTTTATTTTTGTAGAACTTGTTATGTTCTCCTGGGGACAGAGCTCCTCCAGGCTGATCCGTGGAGTCCAAGGCCTTTTCCTCAGCTGCTGGGTTTTTTTGAAAGCACTGGGTGAGGAGTAGGTGGTGGTGGCAGAGTTGTGGATGTCTGGGTCTGAAGTTCTGGTGACTACTTGCAGTGAATCTCTAGGGCATCACAGGATCTCCTCCTCTTGGGGACGGCAGTAAGGAATGAGAGAAGGAATGTGGTTGTTTCCAGCAGCCCCTCACTGTGTGTGGGTTGAGCCAGGGGCAGTAGCTTTGTTTAGCAGGGCTCTGTCAGCTCAGGCTCAGACACTTGCAGAGCTGCTCTGTTGTGTCTCTCTGCAGGTGACCGAAAGCTTCCTCAGCAAAGAAATCACCTGCGTGGTGTCCAGCAACAGAGAGGCCAAGCGGGGCCAGGCCAGGGCTCGGGAGGAGAAGCTGAGCAGCCCAACTGCAGAAGGCACAAAATGCAGCAGTTCAGTGCCTGCTGCCCCCAAAGGGAACCCAGCCAGACCTCGCCAGAAGCCTCCCTACACTGTAAGAGCTACAAAGGTTTTGGCCCAAGGGGTCTGTAGGGTAGAATCTGGGGACAGTTTTGGAAGGTGGAGTTGTGCCTGCTGTGAGCAAATATTCTGTGTGTTTTATTCCTGTTTCCCTGGCTGTTCTTATTCATACTCTTGTTCCTTGTGTCTGCTATCACTGTCTACTCAAACGTGCATGTCACAGCTTTGGGCTGTAATCAAGGAAATCTGGAATGGCAGAGGAGGTGGAGGCCTTGGCTGGCCTCCTGAGGGAACAGGCAGGGGTGTGGTGAGAAAAGCCAGAGAAATGTAGGCCAGAGAAAACCATTGCAGTCTCTGGGTACTCACAGACACAGGGCAAAGCCCTTGTACCCTGGGAGGAGATCCATGAGAGCCTCCTGCAGGAAGGGGCTTCTCCTGGTCCCATTTGCCTGTTGGAGCTGGGCTTTCTGCTCACAAATGCTTGTGGCCAAACTCCAACATCCCATCTTGAACGTGGTGTCTGCTGGAAGCTGTGACTGGGGAAAGGCAGCTGCCCCAGTCCAGGCCAGCTTGAGCTTCACCATCTACAGTGGGATACCTGAGCTGCAGAGATTTCTCACAGTTTTTGTCCCTGTCTTGGCTCCCAGGACTGTCCTTTGTCTTACCAAGAGCTGAACCAATCTGCTGAGACCATTGGCTTGAAAATAAGGCTCAGTTCCCAGGATGTTCTTAACCCTGGCCAGCATGCTGGGATGCCTGGAGAGCAGGAGGCTCAGGGTGACCTGATCTGTCTACAACTGCCTGACAGGAGGTTGTAGCCAGATGAGGCTTGGTCACTTCTCCTGGGTAACAAGTGGTGGACAAGAGGAAACAGTCTCAAGTTGTGCTGGGCAGGTTTAGATTGGATGTTAGGGAAAACTCCTTCATGAAAAAGGTTGTCCAACCCTGGCACAGCTGCCCAGGGCAGTGGTGGGGTCCCCATCCCTGGAGGGATTTAAAAACCGTGGATGTGGCACCTGAGGACATGAGTCAGTGGTGACCTTGGCCATGCTGGGGAAGGGTTGGACTTCCTGACCTCACAGAGCTTTTCTAGCCTGAACAATTCCATGACACAGCAGGCAGTTTCCAAGCTAAATTGCTGCTTCCTCTTGGCTCACTCTGGAGCCTTCATTTCACTGCTGGTCGATAATTCCAAGCCTTGGCTGGTGCAGCTGAGTGGTCCTCTCTGCAGTTTGCCTTCCCTGGAAAGGCTCTCTCCACTGGCAGAGATGAGCCCAGCAGAGTGTGGGGATCCCCAGGGATCGTTGTTCTCCAGCTCTTTGCCATGACCTGTTTGTGTTTCCTCTCTCCACAGGCGCTGCTGAGCCGGGGGAAGGAGCTGCTGCACAAGGCCATGAAGAACCAGGTGAGCAGCTTTGGACGGGCTCTGCTGGGGCTGGGTGTGCTCAGAGTTCTGCTGAGCAGAGCAGAAGCAGTGCCAGCCTTCCTGCAGAGCCCCTGCCCTGCTGACAGAGCAGATCTTGGGGCTGGGAAAGGCACAAAGCAGTTGCTTGTGACCTGCAGAATGTTGTGTAGTGCTCCTGGTCACTGCTATTTATGGAGCCGTGTCATCCGGTGTTGTACCTCTAAGGCCTGTCCCAGCCATCTGGGTGCTCAACACAAGAGAATTATTGACACAAGGCCTGTTGTTAGATGAATTTTTAGCTTAAGAACTAAAGTAATGTAGCTGGGGCAAAAGGCTCCCTGCAGTCCTTTCCCTGAGGTCACAAGTGGCCAGATAAATCTCAGTGCCCACTTAGAAGCTCATGCTGTAGCAGGGATGAAACATTTGCCCTGTTAATTTGGGATAGATAAAGCATGAGTTCAATCCTTTACTGCTGTGCCCTGATTTTCATAAGAGCCATGCAGTGCTGTGTCAGTTGGGCAGCAGGAAGGGCCCTCAGCTCAGTTTAGAGCTGCACGTGGCTGTGCTTTGAGCTGTGCTTTGCCAAACCTCTCTGTACAGGACACCTGCAGTGGCAGCAGCATCCTCGCCAACGCTCGCCTGTGGGGAGTCCAGATCCTGCATGTGGATGGTATCCTTCACTGTGGGGGGCAAGGAGGCTGCTGGTAATGAGGGATTTTGGAGACAGGTGGAGCAGAAGTGATGTAAGGAGAGTAGAACAGAAGGAAGAAATTGCAAGCAAATATCCTGGAGTGATGCCATCCTGGCCAAGGCCAGGTCTGCCCTCAAACACCAGATTTGTGTGTACAGAACAAGCCACTGTCACATTTGCCACAGCAAACACAGGGTACATTGTAATGTACTGAAGGTGGAACATTAGGAAATGTCAATATCTTGGTCAGTACATCAAATTGTTGCAAAAAGACCATTTTTACTAATTAACCTGGTAGTACAATCATGATAAGGGCAGGATTTGGTCGGGTTTAATTAGGAAGTGCTGGTGTTTGAGGCACTTCCCATCCCCATGATGGATGGGGAGGGGGTGATGGGAAAGACAGATGGTGGAACTCTGATACTAATAATAGGTCTAGAGTAAAAGGTTCCTGAGTGTCTGATGACAGTGACATACAGCTGTGCCTGAGCCTGTCTGGATCCTGTCCCTGGGCTCTGCTCGGCCTCTGGGGCTGCCAGACCTCGGGCTCTGCTCTGTGTTCTGCAGAGCTCCTGCCAGTGTCTCCTTCCTGCAGAGCCCCAGCAGCCTCCAGCTCTGCTAGAGAGCAAACAGGGGAGGCTGTCCCTCAAAATGTTCTCTTGGCTTCACCTTGAACCAATCCCTGGGGGAGATGCTCTGCCAGGGGCTGCAGGCTCCAGCTTTTCCCAGTGCCATTGGGGGTGCACCACAGTGTGAGGGGAACAGCTCCTTTCCCTGGCTGAGCTTTGGCTCTTTGACATGCCACCTGCACAGAAATGTTGTCCTATGCCCAGCAGCTGCTGCGAGCCATCTCAGGAGCAAGGAAGCAGTGCCAGAAGACAGAGGTAACAACTGCAGCCAATTTCAGGAGTTCAGGGTTCCTGGGCAGCTTTGAACAGTTCTTGTAGCAACTTCAGTGCCAGTGGGCCAGTCAGGGGGTGCTGGATCCAATCTGGTGCTTGTGTTAGTTGATGGAGATGAAAAAATTCAAAGAATTTTTCCTGTTATAAAGTTGGGGGTAAATCCAGATGAGAATGAGGCAGCTGTTGGTAAATATCAGCATCCATAGCACAGCTAATACTGACTTTGACCCTAAGGGACTAAGGGTCACTGTTTAACCCCAGGTGGCAACTCAGCCCCACACAGCCACCCTCTGGCATCCTCCTGGGATGGGGAGTGAAGTGGGAGAGAAAAAGTGAGAAAGTGAAAATTCTCTTATGAATTGAGATAAAGATGATTTAGTAGGGAAAGCAAAAACCAAACACACAAGCAAAGCAAAGTGAGATGATGATGTGGCTGGTGTACTGGCCCACCAAAGGATTGGTTAATGCATTGGAGAGGTCAGGGGGAAGGTGGGATGTAAGGACAGGGTGTGGCAGCCTTTCTGTTGTATTTCAACTAACCCTGGGTAACTTGGGAGACAAAATGAGGGGAGGTGCTCTAGGTGGTACAGAAGCTCCAAAGTGGTGGGTGAGGCTGCTGCTCCTCTGGGATCAGTAACTGCAGCTCTGCTTGTGCTGCTCCCATGCTGAATATGTCCCTTTTTTCTCTAGATGAAATGCCCTGCCTCCAGATCCAAAATTCACAAAGGTAGGCCTGGAAGTTGTGCTGCTGTTTATGCTCAGATGTGGAACTGCTTGGAGAAGCCTCATTTAGAATTTGAAATGCATCAAAACCTTTGACAATCCCAAAATATGCCAACTCTTTAGGCAGTTCCCCTTGAATGGGTTCTGTTACTCCTTGTTGGAGTCTGGCTGCAGCCTCCCAGGACAGCTGAGGACTTCTGATTTCACACTGTGTTTAAAAATCCTAAAAACCCTTTGCTGCCAGCTCCCAGAATCCCCAGGCACCTGAAACAGTGCTGCTGCACATTGAATCCAGCAGCTTCAAGGAGGTTTTGAGGAATAATGCATCCTGCAGAGGAGAGTGTGTTCCTCCCAGCCCACTCACTTCTGTTGGGCTGAGATGTGCTGCTGAGACACCGATCTGGGGATGGCGCTTCCCAGGGAGGAGGGAGGGGGAACAGGCAGGTTCTCATCCACAATTAGACAAGAGCCAATTGTGGTGCTGAAATTGGCACTGGTGATGTCAGTTGATCTGTGACTTGTTTGACTCCGTGCGTCGGAGAGCACGGTTTGGAGCAGACTCCAACCCGGATTGTGTGTGAGACACTTGGGAGTTATTTCCCAGCTTGGGGTGGGGGAAGGTGCTGAAGAAAGGCTCAAAAAGCTGTTGGATGTTCAGATTGTGCCTGCAAGCTCTGAGATCTCTGCTGGGCACACTGAGCCTGGCCTGGGGTCTGGCAGTGCCATCGGAGCCATTTGTCACCGCTGGGATCACTCAGGACCTGTGAGCCCATCTGAGCTGGATCTGGGGCCTGCACATGGCCTCTCTCTCACAAGTGCTGAGCATTTGGCAGTGTTGGCATGGAAGAACTTGATCCTGTACTGAAATAGCAGCTTCAGTGACGTAGCAGCACATTTGAGGCAAGCGGAGGGTGAGGCTGGTGAGGACAGGTGGGCTCAGCCTTTCTGGGGAAGGAGGGTGAAATATCTTTGGAAAAAATAGCATTGAGTGCCGGGATCACAAGAAAACAAAACTCCTCGCCCTTCAGAGGCAGGAGAGGCTTGGTTTCAGGGTCAGGCAGATGCCCTGTGGGAACACCTTGGTGTTTATTTGTTTCTTAGCCAGATCAGGACTCAGGTTTCCAAGGTGAGCGTAATGTGAGTGGAACGTACCTGCAGGACAGGAGGGATCTTGGAACCTGCCCTCCCAGCCTGGCTCTGAAAACCTTTTCCCTCAATGCTCTACTGAGGCTCTTCTGCTCTCATCTATTTTATGCCTCCATAGGAAGCAAAGCTGCTGTTTGCCCTCCTCAGGAGCTGAGCAGAGGCCAGACACTGCTCTCAAGTAGTGTCCTGGTGCCAGGCTTGCCTGGGCAGCGCCTTGGTTTGTCTCCAGCAGCCCTTGCTGCTTTGATATCACCATCCTGGCCTGAGCCAGGTTCTGCACTTGAGGCAGGGTGAATGGAGGGAAAGGTGCTGGAAGTTGTTGCAGAGCTCTGAGCCAGTGCAGCAGCTGCTGCAGTTCCTGAGTTCCCTTCTCATACTCACTTTGTGAGGGGGTTTGTGTGACAATTCTTGGGGTTGGGGCCAGAAGGGTCGGGGTTAGGGCAGTGGCTGCAAGACTGAGGAGCCATTAAAGATGTGAAGGGATGACTGAATAGTCTTTCAAAAATGGAAATGTCCCGTGGTTGGGCTGCCTGGGGTTTGCTCACCCCACTGCACAGTTTGGGCCAGGGCTGTTAAAGATCACCTAAAGAGCTGTTTTGGCTGTGCTTGGCCACCACTTGGCATTCACCAGTGCCAGAAGTTCTGATGCACTCAGCTCTGGAGCTCAGTTCTGTTGAGGAATGAGTAACTAAGTAGGGAATTTGGCCAGGAAAACTAACCAAGTTTCTCTCTGGCAGGAAAATTGAAGCCCCCTTTTCTGAAAGTTGAAGACCAGAGCAGGTAAATGAGACCTTTCTAAATATCTTACCCCAAAACCTCAGGGTTTCTCCTTCACTGTTCACACAGGGACTGTTCTGCCCATGAGGCAGAGCCTGGCTCCTGTGCAGACCCTGTTCCACACTGGGAAGTTGATTCTCTCCTAGAGGTTTAGAGAAACAATCCAGGTGTCTTGTGTGTCAGGGAGAAGAAAGGTGTTAAACGAGACTTGACAGCAGTTTCCTTCCTTGCTCAGATTCCGTGTGTGATTCTCAGCAGGTCACTTAATCCACCCAAGCCCTCGGCACTGAGGAGTGAGATTGAAGCACGGGAGGTCAGGGCCTGTAACTTGATGACAGCTTTGGGCACAGGGGACCTGATCCCTGTGGTGTTTCTGAGGAGTCTGTAACTCTACCAGCACCCACAGGGCCAATTAATTATTCCAAAGGCAGCATTTAAGGCATCTCAATTAAGAGTCAGATATTGGGGTCTGCATGCAATGAAGTGTGAGGGGAGAAATGTGGTCTGGGAATCAAAACCCTCCTGTGCTGTGGGGTAGCTGGAAATACTGCCCTGCTCTGCCATGGGGCAAAAGGTGGAATTTGGGCTGAGCAGGCAAACTTCTGTCCAAAACACACCCCGTTGGGGCTGTTACTGGGAACTGGGTTTAACACTTTCAATGAGAAACGGGAGCTCTGGTACAGCCACAGGAGAGCACTGGGCAGCATCTCATCATAAATGAGGTGGCCCTTTGAGCCCCTCCAGGCTCAAGAGGGACAGCTCTGAAGCTTTGCCAGCACTGCCATGAGTCTGATATCCTGATCTGCTGCTTTCAGGCAATTCCAGCCCTTCCATCACCAGTTCCAAAGCTTTCCTGACCTCAACTTCCTGGCACCCAAAAGCTCCAGCCCATTTGAGCCTCTGAAAAGCCTCTCCAATTCCTGCCAAGCCAGGTAGGCTGTAGTTCCTTCTGTGCAAGTGTTTAACCCCACTCCTGCTCACTGCTGGTTCCTGGGATCTGGGAACCACCTACCTTTGGATGTGGGCACAGGGAGCCCTGTCCTGGGTGCTGCTGGTGCTGTTGGGCAGGGTGACCCCAGTGCTGTCCCTTGCAGGGGTGCTGAAGGCTGTGCCCTGCACAGTGCTGGGGGGAAGAGCCCCCGCTCCACACACGTCACCGTGCCCAGGAAAAGGAGGGGGTTTTGTGAGTGCTGCCAAGAGACCTTTGAAGAGCTGCAGAAGGTAAAGGTTCCCCTGGGACCTGGGTCCTTGCAAGAGTTATGGGGGGCACTCAGAGTCTTTGTGAATCATGTCATGCCTGTTAGCACTATGAACTCTTTCAGGAGGAATTGCTGTATCCAGCAGGATCTGCCTCTGAGTAGGAGCATGGTATATCTGTGTGCCCAGCCCAGCAGGTCAGAGCACAGTGGGTTTGAAGGTTGGAGCACAACATGCTCCTCTCTTGGGGTGCAAGAGCCTCAAGGATCACCTTATTACATGATCCACAAGATGAAGAGGTTGTTCCATGGCAGCCATGGGGCACAGGCCGATTGAAAAGGTGGGAGGAGGTTTTTATCTCCTGTGAGGTGCCAAGCATGAGGGCTTTCAGAGCCCAGCTGTTAGTGGCAGACAGTGGTGGTGGTGGATTCTGTTTCCTGCTGCTGGGGAGGCTGTGGGCTGCTCTGTGTTCCCAAACCTGCCAGACACTGGCTCTCTGTCCCTTTGCCCTCTGGTCTGTTAGGCTGTGGGAAGTGCCTGTTATTGCAAATTCCCCTCCTGGCAAAGCTTTAAGGGTTGTTAAAGGGCCTCTGCCACCTTCCAGCATCTCCAGAGCCCCCAGCACCAGCGGTTTGCCCAGGACAACTCCCAGTACATCCCCGTGGATCGTGTCATCTCCCAGCTCACCAACAGCTTTGTGGAGTGGTCAGCCAAGTAAGTCTGGGAATCTGGGGACTCCTGCAGCACAAAGGCAGCAGGGTGCTGCATGGCACATTCACGGAATGGGGTTCCTGTGCCTGGGAATCGGAGGCTGAAGCAGGAATAACTTGTAACCTGCCGGGCAAAGCTTAGACAAATCATGGGACATGTTCCTGCATTTCCATGCGTTCTCTCCTCCTGGGAACTCCCCATGGACTCCTAGTGCCTCCTAAACCAGAAAGGGCAGCTGAGCCCACCTCTTCTGTCCCTGTGTCTGACTCAAACCATGCTGCTCTGTAGCCCCCTGTGCCTGGGCACTGGGCTGAGATCCTGACATCCCTTGTGCTGCCCATCCCTGCCAGCAGCAGAGTCATTCTGAGCCTCAGCAGGCTAAAACTGCTTCCCTGCTCCTGAGCAAGGGCTGCAAACACCCTGCACTGCAGGAGAGGTCTCCCTGGGGGTGTGTTGCTGGGGCTGGGTGAGCATTAACTGATGGATGGTTCCTCTCAGGGTGCCCTGGGCCTGCCTGGCTGATGAACGTGTAGTGCCTCAAGCACACAGCACTGGAGGAATCAAGCTGCTGCCAGCAGAGCTGGGAAAGGAAGGGGAGCAGCCTGAGCAGGGTGCTGTGGAACTGGTAATGGATACAGAGCTGGATCATGGCCTGAAGACCAAGGGATGTTCCCCCTGCCTGCCCAGGGACAGGGTCAGAGATCCCAGAGGAGGAGGGGGCTTGTCAAAGCACAGCTCCCTGCAGCTGCCCAGGGGAGCAGGGCCCAGCAGAGGGGTCTGTGCTGCCCATGGCACCGTGGGGGAGGCTGGGCTGGGGGCTTCAGGTTTAGGCTTGGCTCCTGAGCTGGGCTGGGGACCTCGTGCAGTACCTGCTCCTGTCAGAGAGGCAATGGCTTCATCCTTTGAACCTCATACACTGCCTGGGTGTGTCAGCCCCCCTCCCCAGGCACAGCCTGCCTCCAGGAAGCGCCAGCTGTGCTCCAGACAGAGCTCCCAGGTGCAAAAGAGGCCCAGGCTGGAGCTGGGTTTTGGCCTCTCCCCTCTGGGTGAGCAGATGGAGCTGGTGGGAGGTGGGATGGGGACACAGGGTGCAGGGCAGGTGTCTGAGCCAGGCCTGCCCAGTGTGGTGGGGGCTGGCAGCCTGCCCCTGGGCACAGAGCTCTCCAACAGACCTCACAGCTCCCTTGCTTTGGATCTGTGCCTGTGTGACAGCCCTGGGGACCCTGTATCCCAGCCAGGATCCCCAGGAGCTGTGGCTGCAGGTTTTGATCCTGGGGAGGCAGCAGCAGCCAGCACTGTCAGCAAGCATGGCTGGAGCAGGGAGAGATCCCAAGGGAAGCAGCGTGGAGGGGACAGTGACAACACACCCAGGAATGGGAACAGGCCTGGTCTGGAGAGCACAGCGAGCAGGACCAGCTGCCCTGCTGGCTGCCTGCCCTCTCCCACACTGCCTGTGGCTGAAGCCAGATGTTGCTGCTCACTCCGTGTCAGGGCAGCAGAAGAAACAGCCCCTGGAGCTCCCGACGTCCCCAGGCAGGGCACAGAGCGGGCGCGGAGCCCCGGCCTCCTCCCGCCTGCTCCCCGGAGCCCAGGGGCTGCTCATGGCTTCAGCAGGAGCTCCTTGGAGTCACACTGGGATGTGCAGCTGCTCCCCAGCCTCACGGGTGCCAGGGGCCACAGGATTCCGGCTGGGGACGGGGGCTTGCTCCAGCAGACACACGGCAGTGTGAGGGACAGCGGGTACACGGCTCAGCTCTGCTCCGTGCTGAAAGAGTCAGATCTGGCCTGGGCAGGCCCAGAGGACAAGAACTGCAGGAACTGCTGCACAGGGACCAGAGGAGCCTCTTTCCCCATATTTGGGACATTGTTTGGCAGCTAAAACCACCTCCAGGCTGCTCTCTGGACCCTCAGTGGGAGCTGAGCAGGGGCTGGGAAGGGATTTACCAAGGCACCCTCCGTGTCAGGATCCAAGAGTGAGGACAGCACCAGCAGCCTGGGCAGCTCCTGTTGGGAATTGATGGTGATGCAGTGGCTGTGCTGTCCTTGGCTGTGATCTTCCCTCCTCTCTGCTGGCCATGTTCAGAGCCAGCAGCTTCCTCTAAGAAGTCCCCACAGTCTGCTTCCAAGTGCCTCTGGAAGTCTCCCTCCAACAGCAGTGTGCTCTTCGGCCTTCCAGAGGGAGAGCAGAGCCTGTTCCTCCTCACACATAGTCCCCAGAGCTGCAAAGACTTGGGAAAGGAGGGTCATGGGCATGAGATTTGTACTCCTCATGTGGTCTGGGGGTTGTCTTTGAATATTTTCAAGTGGTTTTAACTTGTTTGGGGTTTTTTTACAAACTTAAACTTTGAAATAAAATGGAAGGATGAGATCCTGCTCTACCTTACTGTGGGTGAAATGTGTCTGGGGGCAGGAGCAGAGCAGTAGGGGTTGGGTGGAGGAAGCTTTGCTGGAAGGGGTTCTGTGGGCACCACAATGAAGGGGGCACAGTGGTTTGTGCAGCCCCAGAACATCAGCCCAGCTGTGGTTTGCCAGAGGAGTGTGGTCAGCAGGCACTGAGAAGCTGTTCTACCCAGTGCAGGGGTGGCACCCAGCAAGGAGGGGTATGGAGAAACTGGAGAACATTTAGTAGGAGCCTTCTAGGAGACCTCTCCAGGGCATGGGGCCAAGGGATGGAGGTCAGGGATGGACTGGGCTGGCTAAGAGGATGTTCTGGAGTGTCTAAGAGTAGCCTGTGGCTTCTTGAAGGGCGGTTCCAAGCAGAACAGAGCCAACCCTGCTGTGGTGCCAGGTGTTAAGCTGCTTCCAGGTGCAGGCTGGGAAAAGGAAAGGCTCAGGGCCCAGGAGGGTGGGACAGCCCTGGGCCAGGCACCCAGAGGAGTGGGGTCTGTCTGTCCTTGGAGATGTTCAGTCCTTGAGTGCAGGACAACACTCTCTCCTTCAGCCTCAAAGGGAAGGCTTGAAGTGGGGGTCATGCAGTGGGAGCAGGGACTTGGGACACACGAGGCTTCAGAGGTTCCTCCTGAGCTAAATCCTCCAGTGCAGCAGCCAAACTCCAGTTCTTTACCTGCTGCAGCCCCTGCAATGAAGGGCTGATCAAAACTGCAGCAGGAGCTGAGCCCCACTGGACTCAGGGTTCTGCCATGGAGATGTCCCTGCAGCCACAGGCTGTCCCAGCAGGACGGTGATCCCTGGGAGAGAGGGGCTTGGAGCACCAACCAGCCACTGTCCTGGTGTGCTTGGCCCCCTGGAAGGAGTGACCAGCTCTCTGCCCTCAGACAGCAGAGGGGGCCCTGGGGACACAGGGGCCCCTCCAGGCCCTTGGCCTCTGTGACCAGCTCCAGACACTGTGGAGACTGGGATACCTCATGGTCATGGGCTGCCATCAGCAGTTGTCTCACCAAGCCTGGCTCTTCCAGGGAGGGGAAAGGGACCCCCAGGTGCCACCTGCCCCCTCCTCATGCTGACCAATGACTTACACCATGGTGTCCCTGCCCTGGGGGACTGAAACAGCTGCTTCATGCCCCCTTGGGGACCCTGCAGACCTTGGATCAGGTGTTCAGAATGTTGCAATGGTTTGGGTTGGAAGGGGCCTTAAAGATCATCTAGTTCCAACCCCCTGCCCAGGGCAGGGACACCTTCCTCTAGAACAGCTGTTCCCTGGTGCCAGGTGCAGATCCACCCTGGCTGGGCACCTCTTTGTCCCTGTGGTGCTGAGCACCACCAGAAGGGCACAGGGAGGGACTGTCCCCCTCAGCAGCCTCAGAGCTCCTGAGGAGCCAAGCAGGTGCTGAATCATCTCTGCTGCACCTGATGCTGCAGTTCCTCCCCTCTTTGCATGGAGGAAGAGGAAAGTCCAAAGGCAGCAGTTCCCAGCTTGGCTGCCCTGCCTGCCCTGTGTGGATCTGCCTCAAAAGGACCATTTGCCAGCCAGGAACCCCTGGGTGTGGCTGAGAAGGTGCATCCTGGAGCCTGTTCCTGTGCAGCCCCCAGAGCCCCCTTTGCAGATGTCCCTGTGTGGGAGTGCAGCCCCCATCACACGGCCTGGGGGGGCTGTGAGCCCCCCAGTCTGAGCAGCATGACCCTCAGCACATCCTCTGCTCAAACCAGGCTGAGGTGCAGCTGCCTCTTGGGTTTTGGTTCCTGATGCCTCTGAGGGTAACGAGCTGAGCTGCAGATGGACTTGGAGTGGCAACACAAAAAGGTCCAAAAAGATTGTCCTGGAGGAGGGTGAGGGATGTGAACTGGGAGTTTGCTCAGTTTTCCCAGTTTGTCAGGTTTTCCCCAACTTGTTCTTTTGGGGGAGCTTCAGGGCCTTCCCAGGGCAGCTGACCTCTGTGGTGAGCTGGGACCACTGGAGCCCCTGCATCCTCCCCTCTCTGGAGCCTGTGGTGACTCAGCTGAGCCCCTGTCCCCTGGTCAGACACAGACAGAGGTTGCCCATCACCCTCCATGAGGAGCCTGAGCCTGGGCCCAAGGATGGCCCTGGGCACCCCCAGAAGGAAGAGCTGAGGCTGGTGGTCTCCAGGTCTGTGCCCCACCCTCAGTCCTGAGGGAACAGTCCCTCCTCTGTGATGGTTGGTGCATCCCTCTGTGAGTCTGTGCCCTCCAGGACAGCCCCTCCTGGGGGGCCTGTGGCTGTGCTGCCTCCCCCCATGAGCTGTGTCACCCTCCATGCTGCTCTCCCCTGCTCCCACTGCAACAAACAGGAATTGACTGGGATTCATCTCCACAAAATCATTCCATTACCACCAGGAGGAAACACAGCATTGCAGCATCCCCCAAAATCAGAGCAGAGAAGGACTCCTGGTTCTGGTGCTTCCCAAGAGTGGGGACTCCACAGAACCCCTGGGTGACATCACCCCCCCACTGGGGACAGTCCAGAATGGCCCCATGTCCGCGGTGCTGTGGGTGCCAGCACTCCCTGGTTTCAGCACCATCCCCTTGGAGCTGCCGGCTCCATCCACAGCCGGGCTCCCACAGCCAGCACCAGCCCTGGCACCCGTCAGGGGCTTGGTTCCAGCTGGGAGGGGGGTGCTGGGTGGGAGCTGCAGTCCCAGCTGGGGGTGTCTGACTGTGGTTCTGGTACTGGTTGGCAGCACCAGGACAATCTGTAGGGGCTCTGGGAACCACCTGGGCACTGGAGACCAGTCGGGGACTCGGTACCAGCTGAGGGGAACACAGTACAGGCTGGGGACCTCCAATCCCAGCTGGAGGCCCTGTGCTGGCTGGGGAGCCCGGTGCTGGTGTTGGGAGGGTTTGGGACTGGCTGGAGGGGCTGGGACTGGTGTGGGGGTCCTGCACTGGCTGGAAGGGGGGGCAGCAGTGGCTGAGGGGGGTTTGATTCTGTCTCGAGGTTCCCAGTATTGACTGGGGAGTTCTCATACTGGTGTTCCTGTCCTGGGTGGGGGCACACAGTCTGATCCTGGCGGGGAGGG